ACAAATTAAGTTTTTTTTTTTTGTATCAACACCTGCTTTTACTTCGAAAAGCAACAACAAAAACCCTAAATTAACGACTACAAACAAAGGAACTCATAATTTGGCGCCAACAAGCGAAAACCAAACCCAATTTCAAGTAAAACCGTAGAATTCAAAGAGAATTAGTGAAACGTACGGACCAAACATGATGGTCACCGGTTGTAGTCCAAGCTTCCATACAGATAGGACAAAACAAGCCCTCGATGTCCCCGCGATTCCATTCGTTACCTTGAGAATTTTCTCCACACTCTCCCGCACTCAAACAAACCCTCCCTTCTCCTCCTTTCTCTCCCTCTTTGCTGGATAAAACCCTAGGCGACTCCGTCACAGGAATGAACTCTTCTCCTCCTCCTCCTCCTTCCTCGTCGGAATCTTCTTCGTCTTCTTCTGTTTCTTCTTCTTCTGCTTCTGGTTCGGTTCCATCTTCTGATTCTTGATCGCCTACAAGGTAGACGTTAGAATTGGGGTTTGACATTTTGGGATTTTGGATTTAACCATTAAAAGGAAGACTGTTTCCGTTAGTTAGAGAGGTTTTAAGGAGGGAATTGGAAGGAAGACAGAGAAACGAGAGGGAAAACAAACGGCACTACATTCAGTGAGTCGATGAGTAAAGTATTGGCTTTTTTTTTATAAAATTAATGAATTAAATTGAGTGAGAAATATTATGATTTTTTTTTGCACGAATAATATCAGCTTTTTTTATTAAATTGTAAACTGAAATTTAATCGAAATCCGTAATAGTGCCATAGGTTAAAACTTAGGCCAAATCACATGTGATGTTTAAGTAAGCTTATAAATCATGAATCTATCTTAATAACTTAAAAAACATATTTAATAAATGATGAAAGATTCATATTTATACACTCAAAATTTATTTTCTTTGATATTTGTAACATTCTAACTCATCTAATTGTGTAATGTCTCATTACGCTAGCTTTTTATTTACAGAGAAGAGTAACTCTTACACTAATCTAGATTTACCTTGATCTTTATATGTTTAAGTCTATCTCGACTCTTACATCTTTTATAGAGGCCTCATATCAATGATATCTTGACTCTTGTATGTCCAAGTCTATCTCAATTTTTATATCTCTTATAGATCTCCACGAATAAAAATTGAATCCACTCTGATACCATTTGTCACAAATTGAAACTTAAACTTAATCTTGTGCCATTTAAACTTTAAAAATAAAATTTAAAAGACAATTTTGATAAGTGTGAAAGACCCATATTTACATACTTAAGACTCATCCAACCTCTTACTGATATAACAAATAGCATCATTAGAAAAATGATGAAAAATAATAAAAAAAGTATCATATGATTTTAGGAAGAACAATTTTGTGTTATAACACTTAATTATTTATTTTTTACAATTTTTTTGATATTGTTAAAAATGAAATAATTAAAATATGATTTATTATATATAAAATATTAATAATAAAATAAATTAAAAAAAAAACTTAAAAAAGGTTAAAGGTATAAAGAAAAAAATGAAAATAACCATAAGATAATTATATATCAAATTTTAAATCTGAAAAGCAAAGTTATTTTACTTCGAATTATAAAATATATTTTTTGTAATTTATCATTAAAAAATATTTTATTAAAAATTAGTTTATTTTTCACTTTATAGATATAGTTAACAGTCTACTGAGAAAAAAAAACATTAGAGGAAATTATATTCTACATTTAATTGTAAATGAATTCATTCATTTATTTATTATTATTATTGAAATTTTTATTTTTATTTTTATAAGAAGGAAAATATAATTAAAATCACAAGGATTTCAGAAAGAAAGTCGACCAAACAAAGCCTAGTGCTGATGTCACGCAATGTGTTTACTTGGACCAAGATGCGCTTAAGTCTAACGACCAAATCATAGTGAAAAAGTCGTCCGTTGGTTTACAGAATCGGATTCTCCGCTCCCATACAAATTTAACCAGAAGCTAGAAACTCGATCTTGTCTCTCTTCCGGACAAGATCGACAGACCCAAGCAAAGATTCTGGCAAAGCGAATGGCTAAGACCATCTCCTACATAACTGGCTCTCAACTCCTCGCCCTTAATCCCCATCCCAATATTGCCATCATAGATGTCAGGTTCACTTCTTTTTCTTCTTTTTTTGCAGTATTAAGATTTTGTTAGATTATTGGGAAAGGTTTTTATGTTGGGTTTTTATGTTTTTTATGGGAAATTATTAATTTAAGGGACGATGAAAGGAGTTATGATGGGCATATAGCTGGGTCTTTGCACTATGCCAGTGACACTTTCTCTAATAAGATCTCCAATCTTATTCAAGATGTCAAAGGGAAAGATACTCTTGTTTTCCATTGTGCCTTAAGCCAGGTAGTTTCTTCATGCTTTTCTGCTGGAAATTCCTTTTCTTTTTTTTTTTTGTTGTATCAAATTCCCTCTGTGTCCTTTGTGGACATCTGTCACCACTCATTGTTATGTATATTTGTAGCTAAGTTTCATATATTGATAGATTTCAAGTAGTTATGGGTTAAGATGTGAAATCTAGCTTAGTTGCACATAGATATTACGATGCAATGCCATCATTTAGCAAAAAGAGCAAGTACAACATCTGGGTCGACCTACAACTCAATTTTCTCTAGCGCAATTGTGCTTTGGAAATTGTAGAGTTGGTTCAGTGCCTTATGCTCCAGTAAATAGTTATCGATTGTACCTTGGTTGATTGGGAAATTCATATGGGTTTCTGCAGGTAGATTTTTTTTACTGCAATTGAAAGTTGGCTGTCCTAATTATTTGGCTTGGACTTGCATCTTGTCCCGAAACTTCCAAGTCAGCATTTAGGATTGTTTCCTCTAATGCTTACCTCCTTCAGGATGATAGTGTCAGCATCAGACTGATGTTTTAGGCTTGGATTTAAATAACCATTTTACCGTCTTTGTGGAAGTAAATCTTTCTGTTGGGCAATGGGTCATAGAGTAAAACAGGAGGTTCATCAGCATGGATAAAACTATGTAAAATCGAATGGTCTATGGTCTCTCCACAGTTGCTCTTCAAGGCTCAAGCATCACTTGCCTCAAACACTTGTATTTTAATATGTTTCATGCTGGTCATGGTTCTTTTGGAAAAGACTTTCATTCTATGGAGTCTGGATTGTCCTTTTCATTTATTCCAATTTCTATGGTTGGCAGATAATTTAGTGACCTATGCTTGAGCTTAAAGCTGTTTCCTGTTACCTTGCATGGATGGGTTTTTTTAGTTGTTTGAATTTTTTTGAGTCCTTCGGAATTGTAGCTTTTGTTTATCAAAGAGTTAAATAGCCAGAGGCCCCAGTTAAACGCAATTAACTCAAGCAGTTGTCTACATTTGTGATACTCATCACCATTTTTATGACTGTGTTGAACCTCTTTAAACTGGAACTGTGTTCATCTCCTAGCTGAATGAAACTTTCTTTGTTGACTCTTCCACTCTCTCGCTTTCTTGCATAAAGTCATCTGTTCATAGAAGTTATTCTGTAATTGCTATCAAATAGACAATGTAATGATCAGGTGCATGCCTTTCATGCCAACACTTTGATCCCTCAGTTGGCAGGCATTACATTGGAATTTTAAATAACTGGTTTGCATGATCCTTTGAAATTATTCTCTTATTCTCACCCCATGTTGTTGATCATCTTGTTGTCCCATAAGCAGATACTAGATGCTTAAATATTGAATGGTTCGTCTCCATGATATAGATATTGTATAACTCTGTTTATTAATTGTGGATGGTTTTGCAGGTTCGTGGCCCAACTTGTGCACTGAGGTTTGCCAATTATCTAGAGGAAATGAAGGAAGATGTCGGAATCAAGAACATTTTGGTTTTGGAGCGCGGCTTCAATGGCTGGGAAGCTTCTGGTAGACCTGTTTGTCGCTGCACTGATGTCCCTTGCAAGGGCCAGTGTGCTTAGTCATCCACTAGAATTCATTCTGGCCAAGAAGGAAGCAAAAGCATATCATCTTATTATTACCAACCATTTACTCATTTACATTCTCTGCTGGAAAACATCTGAATGATAATGTCTAACGTATACTTCAATGGAGATATAATATCCAAATATATTACTGCTTTGGTTTCTACCAAACTTGGATTCACTTTAACATTTTGTGCAAGTTAATTCCGGATATATAAGAACAGGAAAAAATAATAATTTTGACATAAATGCGTGAAAAAGTTTTTATTTTTTTATTATATTTAATTAAATTTTTATTTTTAAAGAAAATTAAATCACTAATTATCATTGTTTAAAAAATCATTTGTCATGATATCAATGTGGTATGTTGATATATCATAATAATTAATAATGTGACATGGTTATGTGATATGATGATAAAAAACTTCATGATATGTTTTATATAAAACCGTAAATGATATTTTAATTAATGATAATAAGTTAATTTTTGATTATAAAAATATAATTAATTTAAAATAAAAATGTGAATTTGATTAAGAGAAATAAAATTTTTTTAAATAATTTAATTTTTTTAAAATATTATGCCATTAATTTTTAATGAGTTCAATGAGTTAAAAAATTTCAATATTATGACAAGTTTTCGCTATTCCAGTTCTCATCTCAATATTTAGTTCAACTAGCTCAATATATGATTTTACTTAAAAAATAAAATTTTAATTTCTTTTTTTTCCTTCCAAAATATCACTTTATTTGTGATATAAGCTTTAGAAATAATACGAATTAAAATCTTGGATCATATTGTCAAAGAATAAAAAACAACTTTTAAGTCAGATTTAAATTGGCTTTGTTAATGAATTAAATGCAAATATAATTTCCGATTATGAATATTTGTAAATGTTTCGCACGTATTAATGTTACGATATTAATTTTATTTTAGTTTTGCTAAAGTTAATATTAATAAAAAAAATGGATTAAAAATATTTTTCGTTGTTGGTTGGGAGCCTGATCCGACCCGCCAATTGCAACCTCTAGTCCGGATCTAACTACCAACCAGAACTCGCCCGTTCCGTAAATCAGTTGGAATATAAAACCATAGGAGAAACGTTGAAAACTGCATCTGAATTTCGAAGAGCAGAAAGAAGGAATCAAAAGCTTCCAAAGAGAAAATTTGAAAGATGGTTAATTTGAACAGCCCATTTCAAATCCAATTCTTTTTTCTCCTTATTCTACGCTCAAAATTATAATTCCAATTTTTCATTTTTCCAGGTTTGCATCGCTTGCCTATTGCCACTCTTCCTCGTCCCGATCGTGAATATTTTGCCTCTCCTTTTCCATTACATCATGGTAAAATTATTTAACGTTTCAATCATCTGTTTTTTTTCATTTGATTAGTTAATATCTGTTTAATTAATTTCTTTTCTTTTTTGGGCTGTTCAGGGTAAAATTTACACGCTTTTTGGATGGGAATACCGGAAACCGGAGAGGGCACCTCCGGCATGTCCGTATAAACCGGCTGCAAAAACGGAAAACATTAGTAAAGTGAGTGATTAATTGCCTGCTTAAATTCTGTTTTTCCTCTTTTTTTTTTTAATTTTAATTGAACTATTAATCCAAAGTTTGCTCTGAAGTTTTTTATTGTTTTTGTTATTATTATTATTGTTATCTATTGATTCATTGTCATTACCCGATGAAATTCTGGTCCTTGAGGTAGTCAGAGTTTGCTAGGTTTTTAAACCATGGTTTTAAGTAGCTGAAAAATAAAGCAATGGAGGCTAAATGATGTGCATAAGCTTAAGCACAAGCTTTTTTTCCTAAAATTGTGTGAAATAAGGGTTAGGGAATATCGATTTAAAAATATTCCAATGGTTAGATTAATGGACCTAGAAGTTCAATGACTAATATGGCCATGACTGGAGGGCTATACCTTGGTGGTATAGCTTTTGTTTTGAGCAAGACCTAAATGGGTGGTCAATATGTTAATCAACTTTAATTGTATTTGTTATCGAGGTGAGTGTGGAGCTTGTGCATTGGACTAGCATATGATCTAGCTCAGGAAGTTTAAACTGGTTTGCTTACTAGCCTTTTACCTTATGTTTAGGATTTTGGAGGGATAGGGGTGTAGAGGATACGAGGATGGAGAGGATCGGGGAAAGAAGAAACGAAAATAAGGAAAATGCATTTCTCTCCTTAATTGGTCTGAGTGGACGGGAGGTGAGAGTGTAAAGTAACTCTAATACCACTTGTCCCAGGCTGGCAGCTTAAGTGCTCTTGCCGTGTGACTTTAGGCACCTTCCATACTTATGATAGCCTAAGTCAGCCTAAACCGCTTCTCACTCAAGGAAAGCACCCAAACAAGATAAATGCATAACTAAGTAAGCAAGAATGAGAGTGAGACAAAGAGAGTTTGTATTCACAATATTAATAACCAATGTACAAGAGACATAACCCACACACTATCTCCGATGGTTTGGAACCCCTTTTATAGCCACAAGGGTCCCCCACAACGGTTAGGAATCTTGAACCTCAAATTTAAATGCCCTCCAACAGTGCAATGGTGGGCCAGGAGGCTCTTCTAGTTGTTGGAACAGTGTTCTCATTAGTCTGCCCTCTACTAGCTGTTGAACAGTGCCTACGTAGGGGTAGCTGGCCTTCTTTCCTGCTGCCTGGTGAAAACTCCCCTAGGCCTGGCCGAACTTGCAGGCCATAACATTCTTCCCCACTCAGTCCAGCAACACCGTTGTTGCTAGGAGATTGTCGCCCCTTTCTCTGCGCTCCACACGTTGTCTCTCTGCGCATTTGCCTCGGGCCTGCTGACCTTGTGTGCTGTTGCTTGATTTTGAAAATTGTTTAAACCCTTCTTTTATTCCTCACACCCCAAATATCTCAAGTTGAGAGAAACCAGCCTTAGAGGGATTTAGAAGAATAGTTTGAAGTAACTTTGTTGCAAAGAATGGTGACTCTTCATGGTTTATTGTGTAAAGTAGTTGGGGATTTATTCTATCTATGGTGTTGTTGTTTTCTCTCCATGAGAGACTATTTGGCGAATACAATCCGATTATTAATGGTTTAATAATAGGCATCTGCTTCTTGGGAGAAAACTTTTTGAATAGTTATGCCTAGTAGAGTTTTTGTTCTCCGTTGTCCACCTGGGTTCCTATTCTTATGTTACTAGTATGGCAAAACTTATTAGGAATTCTGAAATCAAGGTAAGTAGCAGGAGTGTAAGATTCCATGAGCAAAAATTAAACGTGGGAAAGTTAGCTAGTCTCAATTGCAGGAGAAATGTTTGATCATTTGTGTTTTTTTTAAAAAAAATATAAAGCATGTAACATCAGATTCAGTTCATGTTATTTGTGTTTTAGGAAGACTACGATGACAATTATTCTTTTGCACTTAAAAGTGGCAGGACATCAATCTTAGTTATATGGAGTTGCTTCGTGTCAGTCATGTGTAGGATATGCTTATTGTAGCAATCTTAAGCATTCTTATTTGGCTGGTCTTCTTTGCAAACTTATGTTGTGCACAAAACATCCAGAAACCGCTAACACATGAATGCTGTATGTCTTATAAGCTGTTGTCTAAATAATTGTGTTTGAATTCTGGTTTGTGATGGTGCTTCTGGTTGCTGCTGCTCATGTCTTACTGCTGTCCTGGCTCTGGACTCTTCAAACTTCTACACATTCTGTGTATGTAGGTTTGTTTTATATCCTTCGATTTGGTAAAGGTTTTCCGGTGCTTTGACAGGCTGGGCCAGAAACTGTACCTGGTAGTATTCCCGAGTCTAGTTCGAATCCAGTGGAAGCGACAGATGGCAAGCAGGACTGATACTGAAGTTGGAGTGTTTTCCATTGTATGAAAATCATTCCTTAGCGTAACAATCCTTCTGAAAATAGACTTGTTAAGTTTGTTGATTTGGAGAATAAAAAACAAAAATCATGTAGTATGTTTTTATCAGAAGGCAAAACTGATGATATGATAAAGAATGTTTTGATTACCTAAGCTCTAGTGAAAAAACATGCATTTAGAAGCTATGAAATGCGTTATCCATTTGGAGAAACCTGAAAAATGAAAAAAAAAATATTTCCTCTTTTCCTCTTCCAAAAGAGCAGTAGATTGAATTTTCAAAAAGAAAAAAATAGAGCAGTAGATTGAGTTGACAACAGTAAAAGGGCCGAGGGGTTAAGACTCTGTGATGCCCGGCTCATTAGCCCAAAAGCCAAAATCCGAGCTGCATGGCCCTGTCAATGGTCCACCATGGCCCATTCAATATCAAGAATTCATTGATTATTATAAAAAAAGAAACACAGTAGAGGCTAAGTGGCTAACCTTAACATGAGAAGCATCACCGTCCTATTCTATTGAAATGATACAAGATTGTCGGCAAAATTAGCATATAATATCTTGTGAAAAGTAAAATCATGATTAAATATGGTAGCGGGGCCCCCCTTCTTTTGGTTAACTTGTTTGGACTCATCATGTGTTTGCCCTCCCAAAGTTTGAAACAATTTTTTAGACTCTCATATCTTTCTTTGATCTTTCCCTTTCAATTACCAAGCGAATCTACGGCACAGATTCTGTGGGCACCTCTTTCACATTGGAAAAAAAATGATTCCTCATTTTGGTCACAATTTTTTTTTTCTTCGGCTGAAAATGACATCAAATCAATGGTTGTAATAGTCTAAATGTGGGCTCTTAATGTGAACTGAAAGTCTGGAACCACCAAGAATGGGCCAGAACCCAACTTTTTATTATTTGATAAAAAATAATATAAAAAGGTTGAGCATTACAGTCACGAGGTCATTGATACTGTTTATAAATTACCTAAGAATTTATGGTTGGATTGAAGCATCAACGTTTAGTGTGACATTATCTCTCATTCAATTTCAAGATGAGATAACTTTACTTGTTTTTCTTTAAAAGTGTTTGATGTGGATTGAATTTGTTCTGATACCGACTGTCATATGTAAAATCACAACCAACTGTCAGCTCAGGAGTGGAAAATAGATTTTAAAAAACCTAAAGCCATATAATCACAAGATTATTGCATGCAAAATGTGGGAACGATAAAAGTGAGTGTAAATCACTGTCGAGAGGACTGTAGTTTAAGTGGCCATCTAATGAAGAATCATGTGACATGTTTGACTTCCAACTTACGAAAAATGCAGCAGAACCATGTGAGTAGGTAAGCAACAACAGCAAATCTTGTGAAGACAACCTAGACATTCGCTGTTATGAGAAGGAAATTTAGGGCAACAGCCACACCAAGAGTCAATCTAGTCAAAAAGAATTTTGTTAAACCCAAAAAATCTTATAGTCTCGAATGGTTTACTTGTCTGCCGAAGGAAACTTGGGTTTATATTATTATTATTATTATTATGATGAGAACAATTTGACAAAACGTTTGTTTTCAAGCGATGGGGGATTTTCCTTCATCTTGTTTTCAGTCAAAGTTTGACCTAATTACTTGGAAGAAAGAAAGAAAGAAAGAAAGAACATGTGTCATGCTTTCCAATAATACATGTATATAAGTTGCGTAGGTACTTTAAATTGAGTAACACCATGGACTTCCCACTTTTTTAATACTAATATATCAGATTAATTTGTTAAGTGAGAAGATCATCTTAATTATGATAATTTATTCATAATTATCTTCTATCGATCTTGATTTGATACTTATCAATATAAATATCACTTTAGTATAAATAAATTCGTAATTTACTTTCATGTTGGGTTAATTAAACATGTTAGCTAAAACCCTATGCACAAAGGGGCAAGACGAAGTTGGTCCAAAGGAAGAGAAAGAACAAACGAAGTATCTCAATGCATTTTCTCCGAAGTTCAATGGGAATCTTTATTGTCCACCCACTGCCCAATGAGTCTCCTAAGTCTCACACTTCACCCAATAGAAACTCACAATCCCACAATTCTTTATTCCTCAACTTGGTCCCTTTCTTTATCCCCATTGTCATTCAAAATTGAATACTCACAAAACACTTTCCATGACTCCCACGTAACGTATAGTAACATTTTGTGAGTTTGAAGGGTAGGTACGATGCTAAACCATGGGTTTGCAAACCTGTGAAGGTCATTTTCTAACGCCACTTGCTAGGCCAACGCCCCCACTCATCAAATAATATAATCAATAGAGAAACACATGTTTTAAAAGATTTTTCTAAGATGTAATCAAATACTTGGGAGATTTATTGTTAGGAGAACTGTGTAGGTATCATTCTTGAAAAAGTTTGTCAATTATTTAAGATAATTTAAATAAATTTTTATTTATTTGTTATTTTTTTTATCAAATAAATTTTTTTAATTAACGATTGATTAATTATTGTTAGTAAAAATATTATTTATTATTTTATATTCACATGAATAAAAAATATTACATAATTATATCATAATGTCACGTTATTATTTATTATAATTTGTTAATATATCACGTCAATATCACGTGACATAAAATAACATATGTCATTTTGATTACTAACAGTTAATCAATCATTAATTATAAAAATTTATTTGATTCAAAATAAAATTGTAAAAGCATCCGAGCATTTAACTCATTAATTGATACATTATCTTCTTGTCTAAAAAACAGAATTCGAATCTTCTTTCTCCCAATTATAAAAAAAAAAATTGTAAGAACTTAATTAAATATAATAAATAATAATTTTTTAAAATAACATCGAGAACACAATTAAGAATTGATATTGTGCATGTTTTCCTTTCATTTTCGAATTAGGGTAAACAAGAGGTGTGTTTAAAGCAAGTGGATGATATCCCATCGTTTTCAAACCAATCTTTGGTCGTAAACTCCTTTGTTTTTGGTTTTATCTTTTGAATAAATATTACATATATTGCTTCCACTTGTGCAATGGGGGTTGTTGTGGGTCCCAAAATTCTTGGAAAATCAGAAGGCAAAAACCGACTTTGATTGGATTATCACAGCATTGGCCCCACTGCTCCTGGCTGACTAGGATGTGCTGGTGAGCCACATTTGAAACAAACTTACTTTACTTGTGTTAATTATTATATTATTACTCAAATTTTAAAATCTTTATTTTATTATTTCTCTCTAACCTATTTAAGTTCATTTCCACCTGTTTATAAATTTATATAATTAGAACATGCGTCACTCAGTGGTAAAGGTGCATTCACTGAAAAAAAGAAGTTCTCATTTAAAACATAAATTGAATTTTTTTTTTCTCTTTTTATCTATTTGGATACAAAATGCATGTGATAGACCAATGAAATATTGTCTCAACGGCAAAGAAGAAAATTTTGAAATTTTTAAATCCTCTGTTCAAGTCTTACTCAAGTAGTTTCAAGCAAATTTTATATTGATTGTATAGTAATTTTTTGTCATAATGTTTTAATTAAATTATTCAAAAAAAATTAATTAAATTTTTATTATTTTATTACATTTAATAAAATTTTTATATTTTTATTTTAACTCAAATAAATTCTTACGTATTTTTCATTTTTATTTGACATATTGTTGATATGAAAAGTTAAAAAATTAAAAAATTATATCATTATATCAAATCAATATATTATATGTCGTTATTTATTACAAAATGTTAACATGTCACGTTAATATCACGTAATATAAAATAATAAATAATATTTTTATTATTAATAATTATTCAACTGTTAATCGTAAAAGTTTATTTAATTTAAAATAAAAGTGTAAAAGTTTGGACGTATACAATAGAAAAATAAAAATTTATTTAAATTTTCTTAAATAATTCAAAAAAAAATTTTATATATGATGTCTAAATTTTTTCATAAATATAATATGTGATACATATGAAAATTATTTAGTTTTTTTAAATAATTTCATAAATTAATTTAAAAAATTTATTGGTAATTATAATTTCTTTTAAAAAATGCATGAATAAATATGCATTAAATGAATAAAATTAAAACCTCATAGTAACTGGCACCAAGCAACTTTAAAGCTAGAATGATCGAAGAGAAAATCGTAGCTATTTCTTTTACAAAAAGAGAAGGCAGAAGACAGAGATTCAACGTACAAACTATTAGTCGGTTTGAAACTTTTTTTCTACGTACCGTGAAAGGTCAAATTTAATTATTAATCAAGAATTGGAGTTTAATGTCCGTAGCTTTTTCAAAGTTTATAAGGCCAATTGATACTTTTAAATGTAACCCTTAGTATATACATGTTTTAGTCTTTCATACTATATTAATTGCAAGTTTAATTGAGAAAAAAATATATATGTAACTCACACGGGTTTAATTTGGTTATGTGACATAATTGATTAAGGACATGATATTTAAAAAATTTCATGAATTATTTCAAATAATACAAATAAGTCATTTTCTTATTACTTTCAATCTAATTTTTTATATTTTTATTTTAAATCAAATAAGTTTTTATAATTAATGATTGTTAATAAAATTTTACTTATCATTTTATGTCATGTGTGTTAACATGTCATAATAGATAATGACGTAATATATTAATGTGATATAATCTATGATATTTTAATTTCACTTTATGTTAATATCATATCAATATAACGTGGACATAAATGACACATGATCTTTTAATTAATGATAATTAATCAGTCATTAATTATAAAAATTTATTTAATTTAAAATAAAAATATAAAAATTTGATTGAACGTAATAAAAAAATAAAATTTTGTTTAAATTTTCTTAAATAATTTTAAAAAAAATTTTAAACATTGCACTTGATCAAAATATAATCTAAATTTATCGTATCTAAACTCAATTCTCCTCTATATATATATATATATATATATATATAATAAACTCAATTCTCTAAATAAAGTACAAAAACAAGTTGAATGAAAATGATATTTATATCTTGTTAAATAGTTTGTAAACCATGAACCCAAATTGTGAAGTGCCAAAGCCAAAGCCGGCTCCCCTGGATTGGGCAAACGAAAATTGTGGCGTCATTGCATGGCGTCAAACGTGATCAGCATCCCTCTTTGGTGTGTGTACACAAAAATAATATCAGAGCCGGAGACGCGAAAGCAACCCTCTTTATAAAGCCCTTTCACTTCCAATGGTTAGCCTGTCCCAATCTTTCCCTCCATCGAAGTGGACACCAAACAATAACTTCACCTTTTTTTTACAAACAAAGTTTAGGAAAAGCTTACTAATAGTTTCCTTTTGTTTTTTTGATCCTTCCCTCCCCCAATGTGGGTTTGGGTCTTTATCACCCCAATTATCAAACCCCTCTCACATAATCCTAGCTGAAGGGACTCGCGGCTCCATGCCTACCGTTTGTTTTGTTCTACTTGTGCGAGACAGGCCTTTTTCCTCTTTCTCCTATTTTCCACCCTTCCTCCTAGGCTACTTATTAAGCCTATTAAGCTTGATGTGTGCTTTGATGGGTTGATCAAGGGATGAGGAGGGAACCCTCGGATGTGAAGTTCGTGCATGAGGATGCTTGCTTTTGTTTGTTGCTACTATAGGACATGACATTGCCATGGAAATTATTAGTAAAATGTTACTAGAGTTCAGACAAGCAATACATATATATTTGCAGGGGCAACTTAATAAGTTCAAATGTTTCAAAATTAAATATTTGAATGAGAGATTTTTTTTATTGAAATTAAAAAAATTTACTAAAATTTTATTCTTCTAGCATTTTAAAATGTAAAATTTTTAATTAAAATTTTATTTTATAAATTGAAAAAAATGGTTTTTTATATATAAAAAATAATTTTTAAAAATCATTAAATACATATCACTGTTAATTAATTGGAAATAAAAAAATAATTGAGAATTAATAGCATTGTGGAATTGGAAAGTAATTAAAAATTTAAATTCATTAGGTATATAATTAAAAAATTTTAAAAATGTGTCATTTTATTAATTATCTTGATTTTTACATATTTTTAATAAAAAAATAAGATAAATAATTGAGAATTAATAAGGATATAGGAATTAATTTGATAGGTAGTTATTTAATCAATTATTTTAATTTTTATATATTTTTAATATAATTAATTATATTATTATAAAATTATGAAGTCTATGGAAAATTGAGACCTAAAGCAAAAACTTTGGCAGCTTTACACCATAATCAACCCAAACAATAAGTAAGCAATTGAAATTGAAAATACGTACTAGATAATGATGTTTGGATATTTCCAAATTATAGGAGTACGAATAAGAGAAACAAGTATAATTGATAAAATCATTAGTAGGAATATAATTTACGAGTCATTTTACTATTTAATAATTCATGTCTCAATCGAAAAATTTATGTTTGTCCCACCCATGTTTAGATATTTCTAGTTTTCTTTCTTAAATTTTATAAACCCATGAGATTTATCATTTTCATTATTATTTTTTATTTTTTTTATTTTTTAAACGTGTCAATTGACCATAGTTCATCATCTTCTTCACTAGGAATTTTTTTTTCCTTTTTCAAGCTTCTACAAAGAAAGTAATTAAAAGAAATCCATAACAACTCTCACATTAGATGTAGGTATACTAGCATGCATTCACCAAGGTGTTAATATAATGCTCTAGTCAATTATTTAGAACTAATTACAGTATATTTCAGTCAAATTGTTAACCTAATTGAACTCAAGGAGAAGAATAAAAGTACAAAAAAAAAGCAGAATCAAAGCTTTGGATTTCTTTCCTTAATAATATATACGAGAAAGTTTAAATTAACTCATGGTAAAAGTTAATTTTAAATGATGAGAAACGTTCAATCATCAAAGTGTGTAATGTTAACTCTTTCCATATTGTTCTACTATAATGCCAGCAAAGTGGGAAGGGCATTAGCACCCTATACTTGGCATAAACTAAGATTCCAAAAATTCCTAAACCAAAAAGATTATCGTTTAATTCCGTCTAATGCATATACTTTCAAAGATTAAAGTCCATCTCATCCATTAATTAATCCAAATTATCACTATCCACCAAGATTGATGACATTGGCGCCCCATTACCCGACGCTCAGTCCTTTATATAATCCCAACACATCAAATGAACCACTATACACCTGGGAAATAGTCAAATAGATGCCTACTCTCCCCCCCGCCCTCTTCTTTAAAAAATAAAACGGGATTAAGCGAAACGGTGACGTATTACTGACAAATGACAAAGGTAACTTTTTCCTGAAACCTGGATTAAAGGGCAGTAGGAAGGTCACGTGAGCAGCAGGGGACCATTCAGAAAAAGAAAAGGACACGTGATGGCGGCTGATGCCCCTCCGTGTGCGGTGGTGAGTCACGAGCGAGTAACGTGAATGCTGCTGACCGCTCAAGAAGGGAAATTCACAACTGAAGGAGATGTAAAAGGCAATGGG